GATAGATAGATAGATAGATAGATAGATAGATAGATAGATAGATAGATGATAGATAGATAGATAGATAGATAGATAGATAGATAGATAGATAGATAGGAGAGAGAGAGAGAAAACTATCCACTATGATCCACTATTGACCTCACCCCATTCCTAAGAGGTCTGTAGGGGGCATGCATAAGTGCACCATCCTGCCTACCGTCCCTGTCCTATTGCCCCCCATTTATTCCTACCTATTTCCTGTATTCATACTCATGTTTATTCTTATACCTATTACCTTATAAGCGATTGACAAATCAAATAAATAAAATAACATCTAGCCCTGCTGATGGGCCCAGCCCTGCTATTACCGGCTGGGCCGACATGACAATTAGGACTGACTGCACGATAACATCATCCTACAAATCACGCCCAGATGGAAAGTCCCAACAGAACAAAGAAAACTGAATTTTTTTATATCACCGCGAGTGGCTGCATCCCAAATGACTTGGCCTGATTAGCACTTCCTGGGTTTCCCCCCCCAGGTGTGTCTGTTTACCTTGAGGTGGGGCTTACCTGAAGGTGAGTGTGATTTTTTGCACGCCGTGGTTTTCCAGGCAAACTTCTCCAGGAGCAGAGAAAGCGGGGGGTCCATCTTCAACTGGGGGGAAAAAAATGTCGGCTCTGAAGTCCCTTTTTCATCCCACATTCCCGGCTTTGGATAAGGATATTTTGATTTGGCAGAACTGGAGCCCACATAATCCAGTCCATTTAAGAGACTGGCACCGGAGCTCCCCCTGATCTAAGCTCGAGGCCTGGAAGAGGTTGCCCTTTGGGGGTAACACCTCCAATTTTCCATGTCACCCTTCTTTGGCTGTAGCCCAAGCAGTGTCCAACCTTGACAGCGTTGAGATTGGTGGATTTCAACTGCCAGATTTCCTCAGGGCTGGTTGAGGAATTCTGGGAGTTGAAGTCTACAAGTCTTAAAAGTTGCCAGGGTTGGAGATTCCTGATATAGACAGTGGTTTTCAATGTTGGCAGCTTTAAAATGTGTCTATTTCAACTTCAAATCAAGATGGATGGATGGAAGAAAAGGAAGAAAAGGAAGGAAGGAAGGAAGGAAGGAAGGAAGATAAGAAAAATGGGAGGAGAGAAGGAAGGGAAGAGAAGGATGGGGAGAGGAAAAGGAAAGAAGGAAGGATGAGAAAGAAGGAAAATGGGAGAAGGAAGGAAGGGTAGGGAGAGGAGAAAGGAAAGGAAAGGGAGGTAGGGAGAGAGGGAGAAGGAGGGATGAGAAAAAAGGGAAAAGGGAGGAGAGGAGAAGGAAGGAAGGAGGAAGGGAGAAAGAAGAAGGGAGGGAGAAAAGATGCTGGCTAGGGAATTCTGGAAATTGAAGTCTACAGGTCTTCAAATTGCCCAGATTGGACTCCCCGGCTATCGCCCAAACATTAAAAAGAGATACTCAATATCCTCAACAATTTGACTCTAGATTTAGGGATATAGCTTTAAAAGATCTCATTTGCATCCATGCATGCATAAATAGGAGCAGGTGCTGCAAAGGGAAGACAAACCTAACAAGCTTTTTATGTAAAGCAGTGATTTTCAAACATGGCAACTTAAATCTGGGTGAACCTCAACTCCCAGAGTTCCCTAGCCAGTATGCTTTAAGAGGGGTGGACTTCCACTCCCAGAATTCCCCAGCCAGCCATGCTTCAAGAGGGGTGGATTTCCACTCCCAGAATCCCCCAGCCAGCCATGCTTTAAGATGGGTGGACTTCTACTCCCAGAATCCCCCAGCCCACATCCTTTAAGATAGATGGACTTCCACTCCCAGAATCCCCCAGCCAGCATCCTTTAAGATGGGTGGACTTCCAGAATTCCCCAGCCATCATGCTTTAACATTGGTGGAACTCTGCTGGCTGGGGAATTCTGGGGGTTGAAGTTCCCTCAGCTTAAAGTGGTTAACTCTGAAAAACTCTTAAAGCACCTCTTAAAAAACAGGAAGCAGATGTTGGCCAGGTTGAAAAAGTGAACGGGAAAGCTTGAATGCCTGTGAAGTCAAGCCAAAATCACTTACCACCGGCTGCGAACGAGGCAAAGGATAAAAACAGCAGCGAGAAAAGGCCAAGTCTATTCCTCATCACGCCAAAACAGCGGACAGCTGCAAAGGAGAACACAAAAGAGGAAATTCTCAGTTTACTAAGAAAAGGAAAAAAAACATCGGTCTCAAAGTGCCAAACTCCAATGAAAAATACAGTTTATCACCAAAGGAAATGGGGACTCCCAGCGGACAAATCACATGATAAACCTATCTGCTTCTGTGGTTTTACAATGGAAAAAAATTGCCCTCGTGATGCCAACTGAATCGGGGGGGGGGGGGGAATTTTCAACTCTCCGAAGACCATTGATCCTTACCTGAAGTTGGTGGATCCCAAAAACAAACAGGATCACAAAGGGACCAAGGCTGTGCCCAAACTGCTCAAAACTAAAAATCAAAACAATGGCAAGTAGTCCTTTGACCTACAACCACAATTCAGCCCCAAATTTATGTTGCTCCGTGGGACAGTTGTTAAATGAGCTTTGCCCCGCTCTATGACTTTTCTGGCCACGGTTGTTAAGTGAATCTGGCTCCCCCCCCCCTTCCCTTTGCTTGTCAGAAGTTTGCAAAACGGGGGAATCCGGGATACTGCGACCATCATAAATATGAGTCAGTAGCCAAGCGTCTGAATTTGGATCATGGAAGCTGCACCTAAGTGTCAAAATGGTCCTAAGTCACTTTGTTCAGCACCTTTGTAACTTCAAACGGTCACTAAACGAACTGTTCTAAGTCTAGGACAATCTGTAAATGGTTTTGCCCATCGGTTTATCTTCTTTTTTCGGTATATATCCGTGGGGGCGAACCTATGGCATGTGTGCATGTGCAGAAATGCGCAGCGTGGGTCACATGGGTCCCATGTGCAGGGGCATGAGAGGCACACGCATTGCCTTCTGGATGATGGCATGTGAGCGCGAGAACACAAGTGCGCACGCAATTATCGGCACGGGAGCCCAAAAAGGTTAGCCACCACTGGTATATATATATGAAAGTGAAATGCCAGTCACGCATCATCACAAGATCTCCAGAACCGTAAAGCCTACAAACTTGACATTTGGCACCTATGTTCCTCTTGGCTTCTAGGGGTTCACTAAGAAAGGATTTTTCGAAATGACCTTCAGGGCTATTAGTATTTCCTATATTATTATTAACACGCTCTGATGCTAAGGAGTTCTGCTCCCGCTCCTCACCTGAAAAGAAATCTGTTCCAAATGTAAAACACAAGCAGAGGAGAGGAGAGTTTTGTTAGAGTTTGCAAATGACACTGGAAATACAAATGAAATCAGGTGAGTCAAGAGAACTTGGTAAGCAAATAGTAACTGAGGAGCTGCAAGACACAATTAGCACTCATGACTATGGGAAACCCAGAATGTATAGCTTATTGTGGTATGTGAACATAACCAATCATAGCTTATTGAACAAAACACTGCTAAGCAAACCGGGGCTTAGAGTGACATGTATATTATTCTAAAAATTGAATGAAAACTACGAGTCCCATAATTAACAAATGGCAGTTCTTCAGTATAAAAAACATTAGTGGCAACCTTATTACACATTAGCTAATTGTTAACACAAGTCACTGCCCCATTTGTTTTGGAAGGGTTCAGTGCTAATGAAACACAATTTGGCACTTGAGAAAAGAACAAAGTACACTTCTCAGTACATGTATACACTTGAAACAGTCTCTTCCTCTATCTCTATCTAAGAACAGCAGAAGAACTACAGGCATTAGGAACAGACTGTCTTGTGGTGCAAGAGTCATAACCGCGCCCTGAACATCAAAAAGACTAAAGAATTGATTATAGACTACAGAAGATGCAAAGCAGAGCCTCTCCCACTATTTATCAATGGAGACTGTGTGGAAAGAGTTCACAGTTTTAAATTTCTAGGAACTCATATTTCCGACAACCTTACTTGGTTGATCCACACTATGGCCACTGCAAAGAAGGCCCAACAGCGCCTGCACTTTCTGAGGCTGCTGAAAAAGGGTGGTCTGGGTGAGAAGTGGCTGGTTACTTTTTACCATTCTACCACCGAGAGCATTTTGGCATACTGTGTAACGGTGTGGTATGCTGGATGCTCTGTAGTGGATAAGAAGATGCTCCAGAGAGTTATAAACACAGCACAAAAAATCATCGGTTGCTCTCTTTCTTCTTTGGAAGAAATTGCGAAGACCAGACTCCTCTCTAGAGCACTAAAAACCTCCACAGACCGTTCTCATCCTGGTCGTTTTGTATTTTGAACTGTTACCATCAGGGAGACGTTACAGGTGTCTTAAAATGAGGACTAGTAGACTGAGAAACAGTTTCTTTTCCAAGGCAATAATTGTCTTGAATCAAACAGTGCATTTGTGATCTAGTTCGATGTATATAGTGGCATTTTTAAACTATTTAACTTACTAAATGTTTTAGATAGGTTTTAGACTAGGTTTTTAATTATTATTATTTTAATTTTTAAATATTTGTAGTGTGATTGTGATGTGGTGTTTGGGCCACTGTGCTGGAGTAGCTTTTAAATTTTATTGTATTCGTGGAATGCAATGACAATAAAGGTAAATTCTAAACTATTCTAAACAGGTCACATGGCAAATACAGCTGTTCTTTTTATACCGCTCAGCATCTACTGTCTAAAATGGTTGCTTCATTTTGTCTTGTAGAAAGTCAGCACCCACCCCTCTCCTAGAAAAATGAAATATCCTAGGAAATACACTGCTCAAAAAAAATAAAGGGAACACTTAAAACAACACAATGTAACTCCAAGTCAATCACACTTCTGTGAAATCAAACTGTCCACTTAGGTAGCAACACTGATTGACAATCAATTTCACATGGAATAGACAACAGGTGGAAAGCATAGGCAGGTAGCAAGACATCCCCAATAAAGAAGTGGTTCTGCAGGTGGTGACCACAGACCACTTCTCAGTTCCTATGCTTTCTGGCTGATGGTTTGGTCACTTTTGAATGCTGGCGGTGCTTTCACTCTAGTGGTAGCATGAGACGGAGTCTACAACCCACACAAGTGGCTCAGGTAGTGCAGCTCATCCAGGATGGCACATCAATGCAAGCTGTGGCAAGAAGGTTTGCTGTGTCTGTCAGCGTAGTGTCCAGAGCATGGAGGCGCTACCAGGAGACAGGCCAATACATCAGGAGACGTGGAGGAGGCCGTAGGAGGGCAACAACCCAGCATCAGGACTGCTACCTCCGCCTTTGTGCAAGGAGGGACAGGAGGAGCACTGCCAGAGCCCTGCAAAATGACCTCCAGCGGGCTAAGCATCTGTATTGTGCCATGTGAAGGTGGGGATGCTCTTGAGAGTTATAAGTGGGAGGACTGGTCAATAAATCGCTTTTTTTCAGTGCTGTTCTAACTTCAAACAGTCCCCAAAAGAAATGATTGTAAGTTGAAAATCTGCATTCCACCAATCAGATACACAAGGGGTCCCCAAACTTGGCAATTTTAAGACTTGTGGACTTCAACTCCCAGAATTCTATGCTGGCTGGAGAATTCTGGGAGTTGAACTCCACAAGTCTTAAAGTTGCCAAGTTTGGAGACCTCTGATATACACTCTTGTGATTCGCAAATGCAAAGGGCCACAATTTGCTATTTTTGAAGGCAGCCAACCATCTCATTTTCTAGAAATGTTTCCTTGTATGAAGCTTTTTACAAATCTGATAATGTAAGAGCCAACTGTCCCTTCACAACAGGACTGTTTATCCATAAACCTCTACGGCTAATGTAAAAAAAAACCACCACATTTTGATTGCAATTCCTCATCCCATGTACAATCTTAAGTTTTAAAATGTTTTGAAAAAGACTAGGGTCTCTTGCTTAAGCAGGGGGTTGGACTAGAAGATCTTCAAGGTCCCTTCCAATTCTGTTATTCTGAGAAAGGAATGGTGGATAGAAAGGGAAGGAAGACACAGGTAAAGAGGGAGACAGGGAGGAAAGAAAAGAAGGAAAGGAAAGGACAGAAGAAGAAGAGAGGAAGAAGGGTTTCTTGCTTGACTAGTTGGACTAGGGTTGGACTAGAAGACCTGCAAGGTCCCTTCCAATGCTGTTATTCTGTATTCCGTACAAAAGACCTCTGACAACGAGATTGGATTAAGAAGGTTTTGTTATCTTGTACCAACAAAAGGCAACAGCACCAACCAACTGTGGACACTAATCTTGTGAGAGAAATCACATATCAGTAGATTGGCAGGAGATAAAGAAAAAAACTTTTTGGATAAATCAGGGCACCTCTGCAGAAATAAACAGCTAAAATACTTGCTTTCCTCATGCCAATGAAAACTCAATCATCCAGGGGCCAATGGTATCTAAAGAAAGGTAACTGGACCAAAGTTTTAAAAAGTTTTGCTATGACTTAACCCTTTTTTAAAAATTGCCTTCCGCCTTCCAGCACGATTTATTATCTATTCATGCTGGAAAAACAAGAACCCAGCTGACACTCCAGACAACAGCTGTTTAAATAGCTGTTGTTTTTTTAAAATAAAGGAAGCAGAAAAAAATATATTTACTTTTCTCTTAATCAGTACATTAATCTCATCTTCTGAATTCTCATGAGCTTCTGCCTCAGCAATATTTTTAATTAGATAAATGTTTAAATAACAATAAGTTAAACAATAAATTATTATTAATTATTATGTTTCCCAGGTTGGTGTCCTGAGCTACAAATCCCACTGTCCACACCACAAACGATGGAAACTGTAGTCCAAATCTATATGGGTCGCCTTTGGGATCCATTTCCCACCCCAAACACCCCTAGGGATCTCGATATCCAAGAAACCATGAATTCTGCCCATGCTCAGAGGCTCTATCACTCAAGAGGAGCAGACGTTCAAGGGAGGAGGGGAATTTTGAGGATTGGAGAGGGGCTTCCTAACCAGAACGGGCATAAAATGTCTACGATTAATGGGGTGGGTGTCGTCATTTTTCGCCCCTATCCTCCTGGGGCTCTGAACTACAACTCCCATCGTATAGGAGGGCGCCCAGTTGGAGAAGAGTCTGCTAAACAGGCGGGGTGGGTTACTCTTCCCAAAACCACCATCCCCATCATGCAACGCGGTGGGCTAACCGTCGAAGCTCGTTATGAGGCTTCGCGGGGCACACTGGGACTCGTAGTCATCCTCACACTCCCACACCCACAAGTCGCTCCGTCCCGCTCAAATTAAGCCCCGGGGCTTCGTCTCCGTCCCCCGCCGCCTCTCGAGTGGGCATCCACTTACCCGGAGAAGCAGCGCCGCTGCTCCATCCCAGGAACATGACGCCCCGCCCCATCCCCATCGCTCCGTTCTTGCCGTTGCTCACGAGATCGGCGCTATATAATGACGGGACGGGCACCCCCCCTTTGCCTCTTGCTTGCCGTAGCGGCCATCTTGGGTGAGTTAAAAGGGTGGCCGTTTCCGTGGCAACGAGCCGCGCCTGCGCATGCGTGAAAGCTCCGGAGCCTTTCCAGCTCAACGATCGTATGAACTCCAGGAGGGGTGATTAAGAGGAGCGAGGACATAACCAACATGGCGACCACGGTCATAGTCCGCCATATTGGGTGTGGCGAAGCCATTGATACAGCATAAATACGATGGTGACCTCTTCAAGATGGCTGCCGCGTCACGATGGCCGCCATATTGAGTGTGTCAGGCTTCCTCTGCTCCAAAGTTCATGTTAAAGCCGATTTTTCTACCTTCGGAGCCGTTTTTGGAGCCTTCTGGGCACAGTCCACCCAACTTAACCCGTCTCAAGGTGAAAAATCTGCTTGGAAAATGAGGGCTCAAAGCTATTCTGCATTGCTCCAACTGCCTGCTCCCTTTTAATTGCATTTCTGGTCATTATGGTTTTATTACTTTATTGCATGTCACTCTGCAGCTGCATTTAGGCGGGGGCGGGGGTGTTTAAAGGCTGCGAAATCTCCTCTTTATGGCTTTATCTTTGACATTGCATTTCTCTTCCCTGGTCCTTTTGGGCCCTTTCTTCTCCAGATGTGTGGGACTCCAATACCCATCATGCAGCATGGCCTGGGATGATGGAAATCTGGCATATCTGAATCCATTAGCAAAGTCTGCGTGCCTGTTGGCAATTTATGATTACAATTGAGACAAGAACTTCCTAAGGGAGGCATTTGTTAAGTGAGTTATGACCTTTTTTCTCCTGCGGTTGTTAAATGAATCACTTTAGTTGATAAAGGAAACCAGCTTTCCTCACTGGCTTCCCTTGTTAGAAGGTTGTTTATAAGCCACCCAGAGTCACTGAGATTAGAGACGGGGCAGCCAAATAAAGTAGGACCACAATTAAGCCCAAAATTTCTACTGTTAAGTGAGATATTTGTTAAGTTGTGCTCCGTTTTACGACCTTTCCTGCCACGGTTGTTAAGTGAATCATTGCAGTTGGGAAGTTAGGAACCCAGTTGTTAAGTGAATCTGGCTTCCTTGTTGACTTTAACAGATAACAGAATAACAGATTTGGAAGGGACCTTGTAGGTCATCTAGTCCAACCCCTTGCCTAAGCGGGAGACCCGGCACCACTTCTGACAGATGGCAGTCCAGTCTCTTCTTGAAAGCCTCCAGGGATGAAGCTCCCACAACTTCCGAGGGCAACTTCTGTTCCATGGGTGGATTGTTCTCACTGTCAGAAAATTCCTCCTTATTTCCAGGTTGAATCTCTCCTTGATCAGTTTCCATCCATTATTCCTTGTCTGGCCTTTGTGGGCTTTGGAAAATAGCTTGACCCCCTTCCTCTCTGCTTGTGGGAAGGTCGCAAAAGAGGATCCCATGATGTTGGGACACTGCAGTGGCCATTAAATATGAACCAGTTGCCCCAAGCATGTCAATTTTGATCACCTGCCCATGGGGATGATGCAATGGTCGTAAGTGTGAAAAATGGTCCTAAGTCGCATTTTTCAGTGTCGTGACTTTGAACGAGTACCTGTGCAAGGTTTGCCTTTGGGGCAGCTGGCCACATTGGCAAGATTTTTATAGACTTTTAAGCCTCTGGTGAAAGACGTGAATAGAAATAGGAATGGAACAGAATAGAATTCTTATTGGCCAATTTCAATTGGACACACAAAGAATTTGTCTCCGGTGCATAAGTTCTCAGCGTGCACACATACAGTAACAAAAGTGATAGGTTGTAGATCATAAATCATAGTTTACAGTAATATAATATATGGTTTTATTTTATTTTTTGGTCTTTTAATGACCCCGTAATCCCTTGCATCGGGGTGGAGTCAGGGCAACTGAATGCAGCTGAGTGTTTACTGGCCAGATGCCCTTCCTGTCACCAATGCGGAGTTCACAGCAGATATATTCTCACTGTACCCAGAGAGAGAAATATCTGCCTCTGCCTAGGATCGAACTCACAGCCTCAGGTAGAAAGAAAAAAAATAAAGGAAACATGGCTTTTTATGATGATGGGAAATATCCTATTTGTCTCCTTTATGAGAATAAGATCTCTCTAATCAGCCATATTGAGACCAGACGCTTCCACACTGCCACATTCTTGAGCCTGGGAAAATGGGAGGGGGGGGATTTCTTGGAGTGTATGTGGGTAGACATAATAGCACTTTTTCTGCTAAGTCAAGGTCACGTTATTTCTGCACCTGGTGAAGAGGACGTCTCAAGCTGGGACAGATGGTGGTTGGAGCATGTGATGGGCGCAGGGGGTGGATTGGTAATTTTTTTACTTACTGCAAGGAAACCCAGAACTTTCAGATTCGAGATTTCCAAGATGTGCCAGTTTACTACTCTAATAAAAAGAACCTTGGAGAGGATGTCTGTCTCGGAGTTATTTGTTGGAGTGGAGGTTTTCTGGAACGCTGACAATGTCTTTTCTTGAGAGAATTTTTATGGTTTAAGAAAAACAGACTTAGGTGCAAAATTCCCATGTCTTTTAAATGTTGATTTATTCCAGTGTGTTACCTTTAAGGAAACATTGCATTTTATGAAAGGATACAGGGTTACTCTGACTCCATAGAATTAGAATAGAATTAGAATTAGAATAGAATTAGAATAGAATAGAATAAGAATAGAATAAGAATAAGAATAAGAATAGAATAGAATAGAATAGAATAGAATAGAATAGAATAGAATAACAGATTTTGAAGGGACCTTGGAGGTCTTCTAGTCCAACCCCCTGCCTAGGCAGGAAACCCTACACCACTCCAGACAAATGGTGATCCAACCTTTTTTTTAAAAAGATCTGTGCAAAGGAGTGGGGGCGGGGTAGACCAGAGGCTTTTTAAACTTCTAACAAATCAATACAGGTCGACTTACAACAGTTCGTTTAGTGACCGAAGTTACAACAGCATTGGAAAAAAATGACATGGCCATTTTTCACACTTATGACCATTAGGAGCATCCCTACAATCCCGTTTGGAGCTTCCAGTTCAAAAGCCTGACGTGGCATTGAAAACAATAAGGACATTTTAAAAACAGGGATTTTAAAAAGCATCCAACATTGGTTTGGGCTGCAGTCTCTCCATCTCTTGAACAGGTGCAGGACTAACCTGGTTTCATTTTTCCAGCGGTGGTTTCAGGCTCCAGGCTTCAAGGCGCAGGAACCTCGGATGGCGCAGGAGACGCGGAAGTCTTTTGGGCTGCCGACCCCGTGCATCCTTGGCATCGATCTGGGTACCACGTCCGTCAAAGTGGTCCTGGTGGAAAAAACAAGCGAGGGCCCATCCCTGGTAGCCAGCTGCACCAAGCCATTGCAAGCGGATGTGCCCATCAAAGATGCTCAGTTGCGGGTAAGTTGAATAGAGAATAGAGCTGGAAGGGACCTCGGAGGTCTTCTAGTCCAACCCCCTGTGTCGGGGTTCCAAGTAATAACTCCATGGGAAGCTGAACTCTGAGGTAGGTAGGTTCCTTAAAGAACAATTTTATTGATTAGATTAGATTAACAGAGTTGGAAGGGACCTTGTAGGTCGTCTAGTACAGGGGTCGCCAACCTTTTGGACCTCAAGGACCACTAAACCCATAATTTTAAACCCCGCGGACCAGAGACCCTGGGAAAATCCCAAATAAAGTCTGCAGAAAAAATCCCCACCCTGTTTTCCTACCGATCGATCGTTCTTTATTCGGGATTTCAGGATACCGTCTCCAGCTCCGTTCTCAGGGGGGGAGAGAGTGAGAAAGAGAGAGACTTTTGGCTTCATGCAAGGAAAGCAGCAGAAGCCGCAGAAGTCTTTCTTTCTCTCCTCCAAACTCCACCAGAAATGAGCCTCTTGGAGCAGGAGGCCTTGCAGGGTCCCAAAGACTCATTTCTGTCGGAGTTTGGGGGAGAGAAAGAAAGACTTTGGCTGCTTTCTTTGCGTGCAGCCAAAAGCAGAAGAAGAAAGAAGCAGCCCATTGGCCAGGAGAGGCGCGTGGGGTGAGTTTCCCCCCCCCTCCGCCCTTTCCCCCCCTCACCTCACTCCCTCATGGTGTTCGCAATGCAAGCAACACAAGCCTTGTGTTCCCGCAGGCCATGTGGGCGGTGCAGCCTTGTGTACCTGCGCAGCCTGGATTAATTGCTTTGGGTGGGACATTTCTCTGCGGAGCACCAAAATTTTCTCGCGGACCACCAGTGGACCCTGGCCAACGGGTTGGCGACCACGGATCTAGTACAACACCCCCCTACCCCATTTCCAACAAATGGCAGCCCAGTCTCTTCTTGAAAGCCTCCAGTGATGAAGCTCCCACAACTTCCGAAGGCAACTTCCGTCCCATGGGTGGATTGTTCTCACCATTAGAACATTTCTCCTTAATTTCTAGGTTGAATCTCTCTCCTTTGGGTCACACTGGAGATATCACGTTGGCACAAACTGGTGAAAACCGACTCTGAAAGTTCCTGCGGTTTTCACCTGATGTGAAAAGTGAAAGTTTCCCCCTTTCCCAAGCCATCAGTCACGTGGTCCAATCAAGGTGCTGGCTGGTCGCCTGGTAACCGGACTCCTCCCTCTCACCCGGCTACCTGCTGGAACGTCCTTGGTTCCCACAGGAAACTATTTTGTTTTGGCTAACAAAAAACCCCATTTAACCATGTTTCCCCCTCCTCCCTATCCCATCTTGGCATTGTGGCAATCCCGAAGCTTCAAAAATGGCCCAGCCAGTTTCACTTCAAAGTTGATACCCTGGTCAAACAGGAGACCCCATACCAGTTCAAAAATCTCCAGAGATGGAGAAGAAAGAAAGGGAGGGATGGAGGGAGGAAGGATAGCAGAATAACTGAGTTGGAAGGGACCTCAGAGGTCTTGTAGTCCACCCCCCTGCTCAGGCAGGAGATCCTATACCAGTTCAGACAGGTGGCTGTCCAGTTTCTTCTTAAAAAACCCCAGAGGTGGAGAAAGGAGGGAGTTTTAATAACTGACAGAAGAAGTCATCCATCCAGGAGAAATCCTTTCGGTTGCCTTTCTCATGCGTAAAATATTCTTTCTCTTTTCTCATAAAATTTTCCCCGATTATTCTTTCTCCCCCCTTGAATCACTTTAGGTAGCAGCTAATTTAATGAATGAATGAATGACTCCTTCCTTCCTTCCCACTTTCTCCCCTTCCTTCCTTCCTTCCTTCCTTCCTTCCTTCCTTCCTTCCTTCCTTCCTTCCTTCCCACTTTCTCCCCTTCCTTCCTTCCTTCCTTCCTTCCTTCCCTCTTTCTCTCCTTCCTTCCTTCCTTCCTTCCTTCCTTCCTTCTTTCTCTTCTTCCTTCCTTCCTTCCTTCCTTCCTTCCCTCCTTCCTTTCTTCCTTCCTTCCTTCCTTCCTTCCTTTCTTCCTTTCTTTCTTTCTTTCTTTCTTTCTTTCTTTCTTTCTTTCTTTCTTAGGAGAGTGAGCAGGATGTCCACGGAATCATTGACGCTTTGAACGCCTGTCTGGTGACTCTTTCTCCGGCTGCTACACGAAGAGTTTGCTGCATTGGCATTTCTGGACAAATGCACGGGGTGATGTTTTGGGAAGCTGGAAAAGGTGAGATTTAGAACAGAGAACCACACCGTTAGGAGGTACCTCGGAGGTCTTCTAGTCCAACCCCGCTCAGGCAGCAAACCCTAGACCATTTCACGCAAATGGCTGTCCAATCTCTTTCTGAAAGCTGCCAGTGATGGAGCACCCACAGCTTCTGAAGGCCAGCTCATCTAACTATTCTAAATGTCAGGAAATTTCTCCCCGGTTCTAGGATTATTTGATTAGTTTCCATCCATTGTTTCTTGTCCTGCCTTCCGGTGCTTTGGAGCAGGGGTCCCCAACCACCGGTCCGCGGACCGGTCCCGGTCCGTGGAACAAGTCCTACCGGGCCGCTGGTTTGCTGGGCGCCACCATCTTTTTTTGATGAAAACGTGCTTCCGGTGAGCTTTTCCGGGTAGAAAGCTCACCGGAAGCACTTTTTCATCAAAAAAAGATGGCGGCGCCCAGCTGATGCCGGTACTGGGCCGCGGCGCCCAGCTGATGCCGGTACTGGGCCGCGGCATAAAAAAGGTTGGGGATCACTGCTTTGGAGAATAGGCTGACCACTCTCCCCCCTTCTTTGGGGCAGCCCCTCAAATACTGGAAGACTGCTATCATGTTACCTGTCAACTCGTAAAGCATTCCTGGCCTGCTCTCGAGTTGCGATAGGCAGGAGAATGATTGATGACACACCCTGGGAGGGGGGCGAGAGGTGAAACAGGGACATAGGAGCGCCATGTTAAGACCCCAACAAATCCACCCCCATTCAAATCATAAATCTCTAGCTGCATCTCTCAGAGAAAATAAAATTGATTTATTAGAAGCGGCCATGTCGGTGTTGGCTAGATGCAGCCGATACTAAAAATACTCTCAACCAGTCCTTGAGTATTGAAGATTTGTCCTTTAAATGAATCCAAACTCCAGCTCCTCTTTAGGACAACGATGGTTTATTCAGCAAACAACCAATACTCTAATCAGGCAAGAATGGCTAAAAGCCAGGCGAGGTTAGCATTGGGTTTGAGTTGGCTCTCTTTCCTTTTATTATCATTATCATGAGACACACACACCCCACCACACCCAGGCCTATAGCAGTTCTAGTCCTGGCCACTCCTAACCTATTATCTCTAAATGCTATTAATCCTATAACATGTCTACCTCTTTAACCTACTCCGACCCTCACTAACTGATCCCCACCTGGTGCCACCTTCACCATGTCTTAACTCAATGCTTAATTACCACCTATATGTGCCCGAACCCCCTCCAACAATATGCACCATATTAATACATGAAAGAAACCATTTCCAGCCCCGTAGTTGCTTCAGAATCCATCCTTCAGTCCGCAGTTGCTTCAGAATCCATCCTTCAGCCCGCAGTTGCTTCAGAA